CCCGTGCCGGCCTAGCGGCTGCTCCGGCTTCACAGTCCCCTCTCAGCTCTGACTGCAGCCTTCTTATGCTCTCATCAGAAGGATAAGAGCCTCCCGGGCACCTGCCTGCTCCGACCTGCTGATCTGCACCTCTGGCCACACCTGCCTCCTCTACGCTGCTTCTCACCTGAAGATGCCCCTCCTCACTGGGGAGACCTAGGGGTCTCTTGCCCCTCCCTCCTCCTAGCACTGGTCACCAGGCCTTGCCATCACCTGCTTGCATGGGCTTGTCTCCGATCACACCAGCACATAGCAGGTGCTCAAGAAACACCCACCGACTAAATGGCTGAATGAAAAGTCTGAATGTGTGAGAGCCGTGTGCAGGAGCAAAATTTGATTTTTGTGTTAGAGAGATTTTTGTTATAGGGCACAGGCACTTGCCAGAGACACAGAGAGAGACAGAGAGACAGAAAGCAAGATATCACCCCCAAAGGGGATGGCCACACTGCAATTCCTTCTTCTCTCCTCTCCTCTCAGGATCTTGGGCATGCATGCACATATGCCCAGAGTGAGTTTCAAGCCGCCAGGTCCGGGACTTGAACCGTGGTCGGCCGTGTAGGAGTCCAGTGCCTTAACCACTATGCCACCTGCTGGTCCCAGAATTTGTAAGGAAGCAGCCCTGCCCAGGACCTTCCTCTGCAAAGAGATTGGGCATCAGTTGTTCTGATGCTTCCTGAGAGCATTTCCTCCTGGAACTTATCCAAGGTGCTGTAGAACCTTCTGGATTGTCCTGGACCCTTCTGAACTGCCCAGCACAGATATTTCCTTTATGACACAGCGTTTGGGGCCCCTGGGCCCCACTTTGTTAAATCAATGCTTCCAACACATCTTTTACAATCGAAGGTGCTTCCTTGAGGAGCCGATCAGCATGGCCGTCACTGTGGGCAGTGTGTGTGAGTGTGTGTGAGTGTGTGTGAGTGTGTATGTATTCCAAGTGACTTCGCCTTTGTAGGCAGATTGGGCCCGTGTTCAGGATGAGTCGGGAGGTTGCTGGTCTCCCTGGGTGAGTCCCCTCAGGTGTGTGGTTATTCTCTGTCTGGATCGGCCCTCCCCCGCCGCCTCCCTGCACCGTGTGCCGGAAGGCAGACTGCTGTGGCCATGTGACCAGGCCTGCCCTCTGGTGTCTTGTTGGGTTTGGCCAATGGTAGGCGTGGGTAGGAGGCTGAGGGCAGGAGAGAGATGTCAGGAACTGACAGTTCCTGGGGACCCTGGCTTTGTCTGCACCTGGGTTTTCTACCGAAGATCACAGCATATGTGTGGACTCTTCCAAAAGATCATGGAACACGTGTGTTATAAAAAGAATTATACATGCATTTCAATGGTATTGTTTGTTTGTTTTGCTAGAGGGTGCATGTGCTTGCCAGAGGCAGAGAGAGAGGGAGAGGGCTGAAAGCACCTCCCTTGGGCACAGTCACTCTGCAATCCCGTCTCCTCCTTCTCTTCCTCCTTTTTGGATTTTGGGAATGCACTTACACATGCCTGGCATGGGACTCGAACTTCATGGCAGGGCATGTCGGATCCAGCTCCCTAACCACTAGTCTGTGGAGCCTGCCCAGATTTAGAAATGTTACGCATCAGAATAAACTCGTAGTTTAATTCCATTTCTCAGCAAACTCTTTGGAGTTCCCTTGTATCTCGCAGGCCCTTCCATGGTCCAGCTCTCTCGGGGGAGAGCAGGACTTTAATCCCTGTGTGTCTCCCTCAGCCCTGCCCACATGGACGCGAGCGCTCTGCCGTCCCTGTATCAAACACCCCCATGTCCCCTTCGAAGTGCGCCTCTGCCTCTTGCCTGGACCTGGCCGGCCGGCCTGCCCTTCCCCGGCCCCAGCAGACGCCCGCACTCACTCCCAGAACTCCACCACGGCGCTGGTCATGTTGGTGGTGTTGACGACGCTGTAGTTGGAGAAGCAGCGGTCGGTGTTCCAGGGGTTGTCACACTGTTTCCACGGCAGTGTCTGCAAGGACAGAGTCAGATCAGCCCCGTTGAGCCCGGGGAGGGGGGCCCAGCCCACCCTGCCCTCCTCTAGGGTCCCCTGAGCTTCCTGACAACCAGGATCTCACCCCACTTCCCAGCAGCTCCGGGAAGCAGATAACATGGCGATCTGCATTTCGTACAACAGAGAGGGACAACACTTTGCTCGAGATCACACAGCCAAGTGTCTGAGCTGGTCTGACCTTCAGCCTGCTCCCTGAGAGGAACAGTCTTCCAGCAGTGCCACAAGGTCACACGGTCACTGGGGTCCCTTGCAGCTAAGTGACTTAGGGTGAGGACCTCCTCCACGTGGCCACACCACAGCCATGGTAACTGCTGGTGCCTGCGTATTGGCTCTGCCAGGCCTGGTCTTGCCTTCCACCCTTCCACATGTGTGTGTGCTCAGTACCGCCTTATGGAGAGTGCATCCCTTCTTATTTCTTCCAATTTTCTTTTTTTTTTTTTTAAGAATTATTTTATTTAATGTTTATTTATCATTATTATTATTATTTCATTTGACCAGAGAGAGAGAAAGAGAAAAGAAAATGAGAAAGCAAGCCACCAGGTCTGGGACTCGAACCATGGTTGGCCAGGAGTCCAGTGACATAGCCATTACACCAACTGCTGGTCCCCACAGTAACTCTAACTGTCCAGTTTCTGAGGAACTGCGGTGAGTTTCGCTTTGGTCTCCATGTCCTACGCGAGGGGACCAAGGCTCCGAGAGGTTACGTCTCTCTCCCGAAGCTGCACAGCCGGTATATAACGGAGTCTGGATTCTAACCCAGGCTGTCTGGGTCCATAGCGAATGGGCTCACCATACCCACCTTAGAGGAGTGTCATGAAGCTTAGACGTTACCCCTCGTGAGGTGCCTGCTCCGGGGAAGGTGCCCCCAGGGCCCCGAGCGCCGGGGGAGGCCGGAGCCACTCACCGTGGTGAAGGAGTTATACAGGTAGTAGAGGGCCCAGGAGATGATGACGATGTAGTAGATGTTCAGCCAGAAGGATAGCACGGCGGCCGCGAGGCCCACACCTGGGACGGACAGCGGCGTGATTCGGACATAGAGCCTCTGTCCTGCTGTGTCCCTCGCCCCCGCCCTGCAGTCTTATTGACCTTGGGGTAGGGCGCCGTGAGGACCCCAGGCTGAGAGAGGCAGGGACTGGCAAGCCAGCGAGCCAGAACACATGTCCGGGCCCAGCACAGGCTGGTGGCAGCTGGGGCTGGGGTCTGGGCTGGCCAGGGGAGTGGTGCCAAGCCCTCGGTAACAAATGTGATTCTCTGTGTGGCCAGCAGGGCGGCGCCGTGCACTGGGTGCAGAAGCAAAGTAAATCATGCCAGCCCTTGCCCGGGAAATGAGTAACTGGGACCAAACGCCGACAAGTGGGGGCCACTGGGCTGGCCCTCTCCTGTCTACCTCCGCCACCTTGGTTTCTAACCAGTGTCATTATCTGTCACCGAGCCCCTTGCCACAGCCTTGGCTCACCTCATAAACCATTTCCAGAGGGGCAGGGAGTTTAGAGAAGCCTCGGCGGGGGCAGGCCCCGGGGCCCACTCTGCAGACTTACCCTTGAACATGGGGGCCAGCTTCCAAACCCACAGAC